ACATGATCGCTGCAGCGGCCGGGGGACATGATCGCTGCAGCGGCCGGGGGACATGATTGCTGCAGCGCAAAGCCTCCTGGGCCGCGCGCAAAAGCTCCTGGGCCGTACGCAAAGGCTCCAGGGAAGAGAGCCCCGCGCAGGTACGCAATCAATGTGTCGTCGCGAACAACGCCCCCCCACCCCTGCGCGCGCTCAGTGGGCCACGGTAAAATTATCAAAGGCTGACTGGTCCACGGCGATAAAAAGGTTGGGGACCACTGCTTTAGACCAGTGAGATTCATTAGTTGCCAATGTTAATTTTCTTATGCTATAATTAAATAATACATTGGTGCATTCCATAAAAAGTAGTTTGAAAATAATATAGAACTATAATAGTATAGAATGAATACTGCTTTAAAAATTACACAGCAATGTAGAAGCTAAAAACCATTTCAGGAACACTATCCTGCCAAACACAACCATAGCTATAATGCTGACTCCTTCCCATTCATCTTGTACCAGTGGCGGGTTGCAGGCGGAATGCCCCGGTATGGGCGTGCCAGAGCCAGCTTGGAGCACTGGATACCGTTCCAGTACGGTGCTCCGGAGGGCCCACCTGCCCGCCTGAGCTCACTGGAGTTTAAAGGCTTCTGTGCTTCCGCGCAGGCACATGCCGCATACAGCGCCTGCGCAACACTCCACGGAGCAACTGGAGCACCGCAGTGTCACGGAGGTGCTTGAATGCATGCATGCGCTGCGCACGTGTACACATGCACTGCGCGCATCCATGAGAATGCTGCCGGCCCCGTTCCAACCATACCAGTTGGAATGGGATTTGCAACCCACTACTGTCTTGTACTTAATACAGATATGTTTATATTCTGTAAAAAGAATGGGGAGAAACTGAGTTATACTTTGGGCTATATGCCAAAACAATTTGGGAAAATACCAGCCAAAATAGAATATTTTTACAAATTCCTCTACCACTCAAGCTTTGAAGTGGAGAACCAAATATATGCTTACGTGCAGCCACAGCCATAATTGTTTTTTCAAAAAAAGTAAACATGATCCCCAGGAGGGGGGATATTTCCCATTTTAAATATGGATACAGGACGTTTGTTTGCAGAATTGTTTATAGGGGTGTGGTGTACTAATGAGATACGTATCTTTCAAACAAACTCCACCTAAGGTTTCAGTTAACTGAATGAATGTCTCCATGGTTTCCTGAGAATTACATTACATCACAACACTTTCAAATAAACATAAGGAAAAACCCTGAAAGATGCAGATAGGCATCCACAACTATTTTACTCCAGTTACTCCTTGACTTACAACAGTTCATTTAGTGACAGTTTGAAGTTACAATGGCACTGAAAAACGGTTAAGACCATTTTTCACTTATGACTATTGCATCATTCCCATAGTCATGTGATTTACATACAGATGCTTGACAACTGGTTCATATTTATGGAGGTTGCAGTGTCCTGGGGTCATGTGATTACCTTTTGCATACTTCTGACAAGCAAAGTCAATGGGGAAGCCTGATTCATTTAACAACCATGTTACTAAGTTAGCAACTGCAGTGATTCACTTAACAAATGTGGCAAGAAAGTTGTAACTTAACAAATTTCTCAGTTAGCAACATAAATTTTAGGATCAATTGTGGTCTTAAGTCAAGGATTAGCTATATATCCTGTCCTTATTGTATTCTTTTCTGAACTTTAAACCACCGAAACCAGATCAAAGGGCTCTCTCTTCTTTTCTATTTTGAAATTAAAATAAAAGATGTACTTTTCCCATTTTAAAATGGTAAAAACTTTTTATTTAAATTAAATAATTATGGAATGAATAATGCTAAAGAGGTGACTCTAAAAAATATTTTTGCTCTATTTGTGGTGTGCAACTTAGTTATGTTCCTCAATTTCACTCATCAGT